ATATATATATATATATATATATATATATATATATATATATATATATATATATATATATATATATAATTTGTCTTATGTATTTAGTACATTAATTTTTTATTATTAGTAACAATGAACATAAAAATAGCAAAAAAAAAAAGTATTAATATGGGGTGGAATAAGGCCACTTGTTTTTTTTTCATTTTACATATGATAATATATTAATATATTCTTGAAAGAGTGTTTAAATCATTTATTTTTTAAAAAATATATAAATTTCTCCCTTGAGTTAATAAATAATTATTTTTTAATTTATTTAATAGTACGATTAAATTTCGGGGATTGTTTGATTGAATACGAAATTTTAGGATGAGAAAAAAAAAAACTAACCTTTCCAAATGGAGAGACAATTTGTTGGAGAGCTGTAACTTTGTCTGCAAGTTTCACTTTTGGAATTTGTGTCTATAAATCATCAAATAGTTATTATAAAAACTATATAATAAATAAAAATAGAACTTTATACAAATTAAAATAGAGAATAGAGAACAATTGTTATAATTTATTATTTATAAAAACAGAAATAAAGTATATAAAAATATGAATGGTACCTTGTGTTATTAATATTATGGTTTTACAATATATGTATACGAAAAATAATTTAATAGGAATTAAATAATATCAAATCTTTAACTACATACACATTGCAATTCATCAAGTGGGATATAAGAAGATACGATACGTAGTGATACGTAGTCTTACCCTATCTCGTGAAGATAGAGATCGGGACTGTTTCAATAGACTCTTGATTCATACGTAATAAGAATCAAATATGAAATCAACTAAGAGAAAAAATAAATTGTAATAACAAATAAAACGTTGAAAATAACATATAGTATTAAAATCGAAATAATATCAAAACTAAGACATTTATTTTACTCATACCTTTGTAGATGTGACGTCAGAATTTTCATTCTTTAGCCTTTTTGAATTAGTTTCTAAATTATCTTCTAATTTCCTCTTTTTTCCATCAATTGGATTATTATATTCTTGTGATCTTCCATTGCTTCTCTTCAATGTGTTGCATGTTGATAGTGTAACCCTAGACTTGCTCTTTGAACAAAAACAAGTAGTATTAGTTTGAGTAAATGAAACTTTATAGGGGTAAAAAAGGAAAATAAATAACTTTATGAAAATATTGTTTTTTAACTTAAAACTATCAGTTTGAGTAAATGAAACTTTATAGGGGTAAAAGAGGAAAATAAATAACTTTATGAAAATATTGGTTTTTAACTCAAAACTTCAGTAAAAAGACAGTATGATGCACTAAATTTTAGCCTATTTATGTGTGAAGTGCGATTCGTGGAAGAGCCATACAACAATTCACCTTAGGTCTTATGTATATATGTAGATTTACATTATCGTCTTTCCGTATGAGACTGTTATTACGTCTAATTTTAACATAATTTCCAAATTACACTTTTTAAACGCAAAAATCCTTTATTATTTATACTAAGAAACATAATTAAATACGTATGCAATTCATCGCTAAATAGCTCGTAGATAACTTCTTCTTTTTTTTTATAATTCATGATTAAATAGATTAGTGATGCATTTCATAATTCAGCAATAGATGTTGCCTGTCACTAATTAGTGTTGTTTTAGTGTTTCTACCCTAAAACTTGTACTAACATTTTTTCTTTTATCCAAATAATGTGTCTTTAATATCCTCCTGTCTCAATTTACGTGACATTTTTCTTAGATGAGATTCAAACAAGTCTATTTTTGATCGTAAATTTTTCACACATTTTATGAATTATCAATTATTGTGACTTATAATACTTTTTACGTATTTATATATACATAAACTTCATTTAAAAAGTTTGAAAATTGCACAAATTGTCAGTCAAACTTAAAATATCTGACACTCGAAAAATAAAAAGTGTCACATAAATTGAAACAGCGAAAGTACCAGTTTCATTAAAGTAATATAATTTTAGAGAGAGAGAGAGAGAGAGAAAGAGTGTTCTTACTATATAAGGTTGTTGGAGTCCATTCTTCTTATGTTGTCCCAAATTCAAAGTTTTGAGACTTGGTTTAAAGTCCACCAATGGCTTATTGTTTAAATAATCACCAAAACAAATACTAGCCAAGTTTCTTGAATTATCCACTTCTTCATGATGAGCAATTTGATCACTTCTCATTGGAAACATAGAGTCCATATCATTATTATTATTATTATTATTTGTATAATAATTTAGTGGCCTTCCAAGAAGATTACTATAAGGATGAAATGTATAATCATCATCATCATCATGATTATTAGCTAATTGATTTTGATCAAAACAAGATTTAGAGGTGATTAAGGTTGTTGTTGATCCATGATCTAATAAACTCATCTCCATATTGTTTTCCAATAGATTTTTAGTATTAATGCTCCCACTTGATCCACTAGTAGTAGAGTTGCTTCTGCATATTTAATTAATTGATTCAAATGAGTAAGAAAATATACAAAAAGTAAAAATTATACATGATATGTGATTATATATACATCAAAATTATACAACATGTAACTATACTTGTTGGGTTTTACATAAATGTTATTCCCTAACTATGTATGAAGTGTTTTAAAAATGACTAGTTTCCATTGAGAAAACAAATAGAGAAAGAGAGGTTACGACTTTGAGTTTTGAGTATGGAATTTTTTTTGGTAGCTATAGGGAGTCGTTTCCGAATAGTTGTGCATAAATTCAAATTAATCAAACATTAACATGAATATAGTGGCAATCGATGAAAAATTTCAAAAACTCATTTTATTATATTTATTATATATTAGTGCTCCACTTTCAACGATGATCTTACTTTTTATATATCAGGTATCTAAAAAAACAAATTAGGTTTGAGATAAGTGGTAAACTAAAATTTCTCTTCTACTAATTATAGACACTCCCTATACCCCGACAAGATAAATATAGTCAACGACGGGGTCAAGTAAGAATAAGGAGTTCATTCGACCCTTTTTAGTGGAAAGTGTATTTAGAGTTATATATAAGTAGATGTCAAATTTTTTTGATTTTTTCTTTTTGTATTTACTTCTTCATATTTTAAATTTTTTAAATAAAATTTTTGATTCCGCTACCGAATATACAATAGAGTACAAGTTTTCTTTACACTAACCATTGTGTGCACAAAATTAAATAATTTAAAATTTGCATGCAAAAAGAATATACCTTTCTACATTTAATAAGTTTTAATTCCAACATTCTTTTTTTTTGCCTTAATAATGCTATAATTCCTTATAGAAATGATATGATTTAAGAACATATGTGTTATATATACAAATCATTAATAAAAAGCACATGATATTATAAGTTCACTTAATGTAATTAAATATTGTGCCAAAGTTAAATTAAGACATAAAACAAGGTGAATCAAGTAATTATAACATAATCATAATGATTTGTCTAACAAAAAACAATATGAAATAGAGTAGTTTCAAGTACATAATCGACTTTATATTAACATGTAATTATCATAAAACGAGACGACTCGAGTATGGGTATGACAGAATAATATGAAATAAAATTGTTTCAGGTACATAATCGACTTTAATTTACTATTTATTATGATCAGTTACAAATAATTATCGTAAAAGAGATAGAGATAGAGATAGATATAGAGATAATGAAAACTCACAAGAGAAGTTGGCTCCAAATATGTTGATTGTGATCATGAGAATTAGCAGCAATATTTTCTCCACTAATCAAAGAACTATTATTAATCTCATCAACACCAAGTAGAAATTGATATTGATGAAGATTATTATTATTATTATTATTTGTTACACTATTTCCATTATTATTATTATTATTAGAAATAGATATAACATCTTCTTCACATGATGAACTTCTATTTGTATTACATGAAGACAAAGATGAATTAGTAGAAATTGGATGAAAAATTGTATTATTGTCTACTTGTGACCACCAATTTTGTGACATCAAATAGAAATTTGGATTATTGTTGTTGGCTAAATTGGAGTATTCAAGAATAGATTTTTCACTAGACATAGTTTATACTATATGCTTTGAATTTTTCTCGATTTCTAACAATGTGTGGACAATGTTTTTTAAAACTTTTTTTTTCTTTCTTTAGGCCAATGGGGGAATGAATGGAATTTAAAGAGGTGTTTTTGTGGTTTTTTTTTTTTTGTGACGTATTTTGGTAGGTATTAGAACAATTTTGGGGTGGACAATATTAAATGATTATAGCTTTTTAGCACTAAGAGTTTGTGGGCAATTATTATAATATATATAGTTGGGGAAAAGGGGATGAGGGTTCGAAGAGTGGCGGAGTCAGAAATTTCTTAAAGGGTGTCTAGAAATAACGATTTGTTATATTAAGGGTGTTCAAAATAGGTTATTTAATCATTTCATTTATCAATTTACTTGTATATATGCTAATTTTTTTCTGACGAAGGGTGTCCAATTGAACACTCTTGATAGTATGTGGCTACGCCACTGACATGAAAAGGTTTTTTTAAAAAAAATTAATATATCGACGGATCTCTGAATACATGATAAATTATATTTATATTCTAATTTTATCATCTTAAATAAGTGTTATTTGAGCAAAAATCATCATGTCTAATTAAGGAATCAAGAAATATAAATGTATATTAAATTATACTCATATTTAACGAACGTTTCTTGAAATGAAATATTATTAAGAAAATGGGGTATAAGTGTGTGGTTGATAGTACATTAGAAAAATTTGTCTTGCTTATTTTGGGACGTAGAAAGTATTATATTAGATACTTTTGATTCAAAGTTTGGAAAATGTTGCTACCTTAAGTGATCACACAACGACTCGAGAAATATAAAAAATTTGTTGAAACTATTTGTAAACAAGAAAATATTATTCTAAGACACTTATATATCATCAACAAATGTTATATGTATGAGGAGATGGGAATGGGGGCTACAAAAATTAACACGAAGATGAGATGTGTTGAAGAATACAGTCTCAATGAACGTTCTAAAAACAATTGATGTTAAGGCCTAAGTGTATTAAAATTAATATAAAATTAAAATAATATTTTAAAAAATATTAAAATAGACAAATAAAAATAAACAAAACAAAAATTTTATTTATTAAAAATAAGATGAAGATAAATTAGAATTTAGTTTTCCACCACAGTCAAGTTATTGTCATTTGGTATGGGAGATTAATTGAACCAAAAAATTATCTCATTCATAGGAATATTTAATGAGATCAATTATCCCACTATATGTATATGAAATAATCATTATCCTACTATTAATAGTATAAATAGTGAAATAAATAATTTTATTATTAATTAATAAAAACTTTTAATCAAATGAATGCAAGATAAATTAATTTAAAATTTTATCCAAAGTATCAAATGATTATAATTTGATTGTGGTTTGTAATTGACCCTAGTCCTCATATTCCTTTTAATTACTTTTCACCCTCTTTAATTTCTTCTAATTTTTCTGGCATTAAATCACCTTTTATAATTTAAAAATCTTAGAAAACATAATCATTTATGTAATAATAAATATATATATATATATATATATATATATATATAAGTATATTTTATTATAATAAAATAAT